GGGTGTCTGTGTGTATGGGAGTCTAGGGTGTGGCCCGGGGGTGTGTGTGGGAGGGGGTGTGTGTGGGAGGGGGTCTGTGTGTATGGGAGTCTAGGGTGTGGCCCGTGGCCCGTGGGTGCTTGGGAGTGCCGCTACAAGCTGGAGTTGGCTCTACGAACAATGTATTCACGTACAACAAGAATGGTGGTGTTCCTGACCAGCGGAACACTCTGCCACACAGACAGTGGTCACAGTCTCACATTCTGAAGTGGGAGTGATCGTTGGGAAGGGGGGAGCTGGAAGAGGAGGAATTGATGGAGCGATGGAACGGAACTGCCAAGGAACAGAGTTAAGGCTGGCTCTACACATCCATTCAAAAGTAGGTGTAATCAAGCTCCTCTGCTCTAGCCGATCGAAAGTTAAGGCGGGTCGTGGAGCTGAAGCTCAACCCTAACAAAGCCAGACGTGTATAGAGCAGCCCAGCCTTTTGAAATGATAGTACTTATAGTAAGTATTTGGTGGAAGGAAGCAATATGCAGCGATGAATCACCCGTTCATCACTACATATTGATGAATATACGTATAGTTGAATATGAACTATATACTGAAATATAGTTCACTTTTGTACTATTAACATTATAAATACATGAAATAAGCCAAAATCCAAACTTAAATATTCCTAGGCCTACTATATAAGGCCTAAGATGGCGTGTATTAGGCCGAGGATTCTTGCGCATGTTTCATATCTCCGCCATTGTTCTCCCAGCAGTAAGTAGGTACCCAGGAGCTAGACTCGACCTTGGAGGGATGGGGGGAGATCCCCTCGATATAAGCCCAACATGCATATATATATATATATATATATATATATATATATATATATATATATATATATATATATATATATATATATATATATATATATATATATATATATATAATTAAAACTGTATTGGAGGGGACCCACATTCCCTCCAATGCGTTATGTGTGGCTGTCTGGCCCACGACACAATGAATTAAAATAAATCCGGTTTGTCCATATTTAATAATAATACAAAAATCCACTTCCTGGTGGTCCATCACGCCATATTGGTCCTTTACACCAAATACTACAGTAGAGTGCTCTCATGTTAGGAGCCCGGGCAGAGTAAACACTCCTGGCTCTGTTAGAACACCTTGGCTCTGTTAGAACACCTTACCTTACCTTGAGGTTACCTTGAGGTGCTTCCGGGGCTTAGCGTCCACGCGGCCCGGTCGTCGACCAGGCCTCCTGGTTGCCGTACTGATCAACCAGGCTGTTGAACGCGGCTGCTCGCAGCCTGACGTACGAGTCACAGCCTGGTTGATCAGGTATCCTTTGGAGGTGTTTATCCAGTTCTCTCTTGAACATTGTGAGGGGTCGGCCAGTTATGCCCCTTATGTGTAGTAACTCTTAGCTGCCACCTTAACTCTAGTGGCAGCTCGGCTTCCATAATTAATAAGCAATACTACTAATAATAATACATAAACAACAAGACTCATCTAGGGAAGACTGTATGATGATACATAAGGTGTATTATTTACATACTGTATTATTAATAAGTATTATTGAGTATTGAAACAAATCTTTGACATCAAACCTGGACCAATGGGATGGCGCAAAATGTTTCGTAATTTGTGTTTATGTGTGTGAATACTGTTTGATGTACTTTTGAATGTAAGTAGATGGATATATTGTTGGAGAGCTGACGCAGGTGTTGCAGATGTTGTCTACTACGTGTCTGACGCAGGTATTACCAGCACCAGACCCCGCAGGGTCGCCTTCCTCACTGATATATATGCAATATGTTAATTACCGGATGTGTTGTGTTCCTCAGGAGAGGCGGGAAGATGTCCCCAGCGGCGGTGTGGACGGCAGCGGCGGTGTGCTTGTGTGGGGTGCTTCATGCTGCCCACCCTCCCCCAGGGGACCGCCTCATCAACCTACTCTACCCCAGCACAGCGTCCCAGCGAGCCTCCGCACTGTGGCAGTACTCCCCAGAAGGCAAGGTTGAGACATGGCCGGCTGGCGCACGACCCCAGCGGGAAGATGGCTACCCCAGGACCAGCCCCAGCAGTCGTCACCAGCACCGCCACGCCCGCGCCAAGAGGCAGGAGGTGCTGGAGGCCGCCAACACCATCGGGCATCATCACCATGCCGAGATGATGAAGCGAGCCATCAGTCTGTGGGTGGCGCTGCACCCCCTCACCTCCTTCCCCAACCCTCTGTCCCCAGCGCCCAGAGGAGCCCCAGCAGACCCCCAGGACGACCCCAACACCCCCGCCAGGTCGTATGGGCAGCCCCTCCGCTGGGGCAGATAACTCCATACTCGCAAGCCATACATGTTCAATGTTCACGCCCGCCACACTGACTCACACACAACACGTCACACCCTCTGCACCGGCAGGCTGCAACACTCCTGCACGTGCATCACTCTTGGTTCATGCTCCAGATAACTCCAGTCATGCAGACAACGCGGTGTGCAACTATGGTCAGGGCAGTCATCACCGTCTGTCTGCTGCACATGTCTCAGACATGTCATGAGCATACATAACCGCGTGTTGCAAGTGTTGCAGAAGCTCGTGACCTTAGCCACACAACACACACGCGGGTGTACACTTGGCTGGAGTGTCTGAGTGGGGATTCAGGAACACGGTGTCTTCCGGCCTCCAATACTGATCCTTCAACAATCAGCAACGAATCAGATTATCCTCTAACTAACAGTGAAGCAGATATCTTCTCCTTCAACACTGATATTGCAGGTCAGAAGTTGTCTATACCTCTGCTGCACGACTAACAGGTATTACTAATGAGACATGCCAGTGTCTCATTAGTAATACTTGTTCTGAGGAAGTTCCTACCACGAAGGGTGTATGGAATTACATTCGGTACACGTTCGCCTACGAAATCTGTACACCTTCTTTCGTCCACGGCGGCTTGGTCAGTATTTAACGATATACAAATCTTGGAAACCGTTGCGAGGTCGTTCCTGACCCGAGGTTGCTCTTTTAGAGCTTCAGACCTCGTAAACTGTTGAATAAATGCAGTCTAAGCTGCCATGATCGAGTAAAGATGCACAGGTTTCGTAAGTAGATATCTAAGTGCTTGAATCCTAGCCGTGTTCTCAACGATATTTCGTGGAAAGACAGGTGGATCATGTGGTGACCAGAGGACACAACACATCATGGCATACACGGCACAGCTACACATATGACTTGGTAGAATATATCTCTGGCATATACATGACACATCCCAACATATAGGTGGCACAGCTGAACATGTATTTGACGCATAACACGACCTTGGCTACCTCGACTGTTGCAAGATATACCTGGATTGTCAGAGAACTGGAACGCTCAAGTCCAGAGATTTGTATTATTGTTTGTCTTCTCGATTGATCTGGCTTCTGAACTGACTTGTGAAGAGTCATGGCTAGATGCAACCTTACATAGTTCATCCACCAAACATTGGCCATATGCTCGTTAATATAGCAGCAGCTGTTCTATGTTTATGAATATCAATCACACATGACTCAACTGATTAAATTCGAAAATTGCTTCGCTCATTTCCAATGTTCGAAGAGTTCTTCTCTTTATGCTTCACACACATAATATAAGTACAGTGTCAGCCTGAGGATGGGTTGTACCAGGACCGAGCAAGAATGAGGCAGTGACCTCCCAAAATAATGGACCTGTCAACAGGGGTTGATTCGTGGCTCCTTTGTATTCTCTATAAACCTAAAGCTGCCAAATCAATCAAAAGCTTTTAATTTTTTGTGTAACAGTCGTTGATTATATTGACAAAAATAATTCGTTACTCCGATTTCGCAAAACTTAAATCTATATTAAAGTGTCTTCAAACATCCTAGGCTAGAGAGCGATTCCATAATGTTTTCATAATGGATGAGTTTTTAATACAAATAATTGTTTTAAATGAGTATCATCAATGTTATCAGTTGAAATGCGTCTCTGCAACATTAGTTTGGTTATGGATCAGTATATCACACAGCCTTGCGCTTGTTACTCAACATAACATACTTGAATTGATTCCTTCGAAACAAGAAATAAATCGCAACAATATTTACATGTAAATCTAAGCCTGAAATTTTCTCCCCGTGTGTTACGAACAACCAAACTGAAGCAGCTTTCCTCTCTGGACTAAATCCAGTGTTAGATAATAATGAAAATAAATTAATTCTAATCTACTTACAAATACATTTGTCTTCGTTGCAATTATTCGCATTGATAATAATTATTTAATAAGTTCTCGTAATTTATTTTTGTGAAATGTATTGCTTTATTTTATTATTTATTGTATTTATGGTACGTATTTAAGGTGGTGTGAAGAGTGTAGGGGAGGTCGTATCCTAGTGCAATACACTTTACTGTGGGCGTCACACTTTTCTTATCCTGCTGCGTTATTTGTTTCCCACTATGACTCCTAAGTAACAGGTAACTACACCTACACCTCCACCACCACCTACACTTGCTCCACCACCATCCACACATGTCTTACACCCAGCTACACTTGCTCCACCACCACCCACACATGTCTTACACCCAGCTACACTTGCTCCACCACCACCCACACATGTCTTACACCCAGCTACACTTGCTCCACCACCACCCACACATGTCTTACACCCAGCTACACTTGCTCCACCACCACCCACACATGTCTTACACCCAGCTACACTTGCTCCACCACCACCTACACATATCTTACACCCAGCTACACTTGCTCCACCACCACCTACACATATCTTACACCCAGCTACACTTGCTCCACCACCACCTACACATGTCTTACACCCAGCTACACTTGCTCCACCACCACCCACACTTGTGTGGAGCTGCTGGTGTTGGATGCTTCAGTAGGGGATAAACTGGGGTATCATCTAGCTGATGATGCTGATGATCTGTACGACCATCATCAACATCATCGTCGTTGATGATCCAGATGGAAAATAAGGCAAGCAAAATCTTAATAAATTAAAGACTACTTAAAGACACTACAGTTTTATTTAGAGCAGAGAAACTCCTTCACATAATGTTTAATGACGAGAACATAGAGATATGTCATAAGAGTATTATCATCAACAATCACTGCTGTAACAACCACAGCTGAGTATCATCAACACTGATGAGTTCTACAATCACTGATGAGTGATTGAGTGCCATAAATAATCACTTCTGAGTGCTACAATCACTGCTGAGTGCCACAAACAATAACAACTAAGTGCTACAATTACTGCTGAGTATCACAAACAATCACAAATGAGTGCCACAAACAATCACTTCTGACTGCTTTATTCATCTATTAAAAAAAACACAAATCAGCATGTCAACAGAAATATCTACCTAAAAGCTTCAACACTGATCAGATGGTAGCTCCCGGACCCCGGCTGTCACCACACTCTTGCAAGCAACGCGGGGGGGGGGGGGGGCTGTTGATCAGGTTGCACAATAAGCGTGTAAGAATGCCCACGAATATCACACACTGATCCAGTTAACTGTGGCTGAAAGACTGGTGTATATAGTGCGTTCGGTGTAACAGGAGCACCTGCGGAGGCTGGGTTATAGCCAGGTTGGAGTGCACGGTGCACCACACCAGGCTGTGGAGCACGGTGCACCACACCAGGCTGTGGCGCATGGTGCACCACACCAGGCTGGGACGAACGGTGCACCAAGCAAGGTACCTGTTGAGAGATCTGTATATTCCATACACAGAGTCTCAAGTCCCTGTATACAACACTGTACATTTCGGAACGTGCATCATCGCTCGAGTGTATAGCGACCCCGCCACACCTGACCTGGGATCAACATGCAGATGCAACACATAATCTCTAATATGAACGTTTCGTTTAAAAATAAGTAATGAGATCTGGGATGGATAACCCTGTATTAATTTCACATAAGTCTTGCCTAACTCCTCGTCACTGAAATTGCTTGTAATATTAAATAATTAATCGAATTATTGGCGGCGGATTTCGCACTAATTGTCTATCGATTCATGTCAACCCGCGTCGACCACTGTCACGCGTCCTCAACATGTTCCAATCAAACATTTGGGCGCGTTTTTTACGTACAGGCCAACGTACATTATCGGTCTGTACTGTCTGTGCAGGTTGACGTGTCCAGCGCAGTTGGTCAGTGTTTTAGGGCACGTCGATGCTGCCTGAGGAAATCTTGGTGCTGACTCTTGAATCTAGGTGCCGTCTGTTGAATGTGCAAGTCGTCCGTTAAATCTAGACGCCATCGGTCGAATCTAGACGACATATATCGAATCTAGACTCCGTTTGTCGAATCTAGACTACGTTTGTCGAATCTAGACGCTGTTTATCGAATCTAGACGTCGTTTATCGAATCTAGACCCCGTTTAACGAATCTAGACGCCGTTTATCGAATCTAGACTCCGTGTGTCGAATCTAGACACCATTTGTTGAGTCCAAACACTGTTGAATAGGGATGTCGTCTGTTGAAACCTAGATGCTGTGTGCAAAGGCGATGGGAGGCCCCTTCAGTAGTAAAAGGGACAGTAGCAATGCGTGGACGGGCAGAAGGACACGGTGTGCTGGAGACAGTTGAGGGTACACCAGCCGTCTATACCGGGCAGGTACCGCCACACCCCGACGCCTCGACACGACTCTCTGAGAAACAATGGAAGTCAGAATTGATGGACACCATGCGGGAGTCGCTTGCTGAAACACACAGATAAACTTGAACTTTTTTAATATAATAGTAATAATAATAACACGAATTGTTTGGGAAGAATTATTAAGATTATCATACTAATGAGATTATTAAGTGACCGAAATCGTACCTGCAACGTTAGACAACGTTGATTGGCCCAAACTTCCAGCGGGTTGAATTTTAGTCTAAATTTGACAATTCATTCTTCAGATTAACACAATTTAAAAACAAATTGCTGTTCTAACTTGGCATTGGGATTTATCAAACTTTCCACCCAAAATGTGGAAAGTAGCTAAGTAAGGAGACTGCCGCTCTCTCAACCATCAACCACCTGACAAGCCTAAATTGCAATCTTAACTTTTTCATCATATGATTAATGTAACTTACTTTATAGTGAAGAATGTTGGCACAGACTGACAACAGAGTACAGCTGCTGGGCCAGGAGTCACCTGACACGTGCACATCCACTGAGGACACCTGTACATCCAACCTCACTCATGACGGCTCTATTTACAATTATCAGACAGTTCATGGTCTCTATGAGGTCGTCTATCACAATAATAACCTTAGGCTGTGAAGTTTCGAAGTTCGCAAACTGTTTATAGTTTTACACAGGTGGGTACAGGAACAGTCGACTGCTGTTGACGCCTGACAGCAGGCTGAGAGCTTCCTCATCACATTTCATTTACACGACTTGATAATGGTCCAGAATGTTCTGAAACGTCGTTGGTTCTTTATTTTCTGATGTGTTTTTAGTCATTAAATCTTTAGACTTTAGCCACGTTATTTGTGACTCATCATCTGCTCATGGTAAGCCTTATCCACTGGTTTCCCTGGAATACGACTCGCTAATCGTCTAGCAACCAAGTACCCAATCATTGCTAGCTGAACAGTGGCTTACAGTTAAGGATTGGTGTTTGGTCAATCCACCCCGGCCATTATACGAACCCAGGCCAAATCGCTCGTGAGGTGCGGGGAGCAACCCGTCCTCACACTAGGCTGGTTAAAGCAGCGGCCGTCCTCCCCAGGCGCATTCATCAATTTTACCAATGTATTAAAAATTGGTTTCTCATATATAAACTAATAATATTATACATAAAAATTCTATGAATAGTTAGGCGTAGGTTAGGTTAGGTTAGGTTAGGTTAGGTTAGGTTAGGTTCTGTTGGCGATTATTTGTATTTGTAGTATGTGGGTGAAGCATTTACAGCGTTGTGGTTCGAACAAAATTCGTCTCTGAAGCCAACCCGTCCTCGACTCAAGTCCATTACATTCAGCGGTCAACCCCACAGACGCATTCATAAATTTTAACATACTGTTCATTCAAAACGGGAATTTTCTCAAGTATAAATTAATATTATAATATATTAGCATATTGTGCATATATAGGCATAGGTTAGGTTAGGTTAGGTGTTTAGGTTCTGTTGGCGATTATTTGTATTTGTAGTACGTGGGTGAAGCATTTATAGCGTTGTGGTTCGAACAAAATTCGTCAGTGAAGCACTTGTTCCGGATATGTTCGAACGTCAGCAGTTGTGAGTCGTGTGTAAACCGCTTTTCATTCATAAACAGGGGGTTTGGCAGGTGCATGGAATCACTTTTGGATCTTTGTTTGGAGGACGGGCTGCTCACAACTGATTTCGTTCGAACACTTCCGGAGCAAGTGCTTCAGCAGCCTGTCCTCCAAACAAAGATCCAAAAGTGATTCCATCCACCCGCCAAACCCCCTGTTTATGAATGAAAAGTGGTTTACACACGACTTACAACTGTTGACGTTCGAACATATCCAGAACAAGTGCTTCACTATCGAATTTTGTTCGAATCACAACGCTATAAATGCTTCACCCACGTACTACAAATACAAATAATCGCCAACAGAACCTAAACACCTAACCTAACCTATCCTATGCCTATATATACATAATATGCTAATATATTATAATATTAATTTATACTTGAGAAAATTCCCGTTTTGAATGAACAGCATGTAAAAATTTATGAATGCGTCTGTGGGGTTGACCGCTGAATGTAATGGACTTGAGTCGAGGACGGGCTGGTTGTGAGTCGTGTATAAACCATTTTTCAATCATAAACATTGGGTTTGGCGGGTGCATGGAATCACTTTTGGGTCTTTGTTTGGGGGACGGACTGCAGCGAAGCACTTGTTCCAGAAGTGTTCGGACGTCATCAGTTGTGAGTCAACCCGTCCTCCAAACAAAGACTCAAAAGTGATTCCATGCACCCGCCATGCCCGTGAAAGGCATAACACCTGCTCAGCCAATCACTTTATGTTGTAAGTTGAGTTAATACGAGGGTAGCTGGAGGCTACACTACACAACAGTTAAAATGCCTTCAGAGAGCAGGGGAAAGTGTAGCATGGGATTATTACTTACGTTGGTATTGGTTGTGGTACAGGGTATGGTGCAGGCTGTGGCTTGGACTGTGGTACAGGATATGGTACAGACTGTGGTGCAGGCTGTGGCGTGGGCTTTGGAGTAGGTCGTGGAGTGGGCTTTGGTGTAGGCCGTGGCGTGGGCTTTGGTGTAGGCTGTGGAGTGGGATGAGGCACAGACTGAGATACAGGCTGAGGGACAGGAACTGAGGAAGGCTGCAACACCTCCCGCCACAGTCGCGTGTCCAACCTCGGGTAGGAACTGCAGATCCGGGGTTGGTTCCTGAAAGGCAAAGTGAGAACCTCTGAACTATGAATATCAACTGACCTCCAGTCATTATAACCCCACTTATAAGAAGCAGTCAGTCCACTACGAGCGATGACACTATTCCCCGCCATCACCCTTTCCCACTGAACGGATTGAATGCTTGTTTATGACAACCAGGAAATGGATATATTTAATATAAATCACAGTAATTACATCATTGTGTAATTACTGTGAATTACTCTCCCACCTAGCACTATGGAGGCACCTCACCTGTTGTTGTCTGGGGTGAGGAAGGGGCTGGGCTGGAGGGAGTGGAGGCTAAGGTGGCCACACATGACGGAGGCCAAGCTGGTCTGCTTCAGCGCCTCCAGCTGACCTACGGACACCACAAACGTCGTAATGCACCAGGTGAAGCAGGGTGGAATACCCCACACAGAGGGAACACAAAACAAAGGTTAAACGAAGAAAGGAAGGGAATGAAGATTCTAAAGCAGGGATAATATATATACAGGTCATTGTGTTCTCAAATGGAATCAGGAGAACGCATGCCGTCAGAAAACCCTATCTTTGTCTCATTGAGTACATTATCCTATGATAGGTTACATCAGTTAACATTATAACACAAAAACATAACTCCCTTCCATACTATGAAGTACAGAGGTGGACACGTGAAATATAACAATTTAAATCAACAGCTGTTGCATTGTTGTTTTAAAAATGTCCATTTCTGCCGCAGTTGCTCGCTAACATACGCCCCGAGGATATTAGTGACAAAGACATCTATTAATGCCCATCTTTTCCATATTTACACTCCGTGTGATTTACCAAATGGGGATTTTATCGGACTATATATCTATTACTGAGCGATCTATGTAAGTAGACAGACAACCACTCATCATCTCTAGTACTGAGTGTGGGTTGAAATAGTACCTAATTTAATTGACTAAGTTTCACTTCCTAACATATCTTCTGCAAACGCATTTAACCATTACCTTTAGAGAATGGCTCAGGTTGTTTGCTGTTCTCGTACCAAAACCTGTCGCCTTTCTTGAGACTGGAGAACTGCTGGGCGATGATACAGGAGAGTGTGGGTCCCAGGAGGCCGCCCTGCGCCGCCACCTCCGCCAGCCCTGCAGGGAACAAGTCGATGTCCTCCACACTCCTGCAACACAAGTGTCGGTGTTACCATTGCACCTACTACTATATGAACCGCAACACAACATCGACCACCGCTACATACACTGTAGGGATTTATGACAATATCAGTATTTATATACACTCATTGTACAACAGTTGTTACCCGTCGCAATAAATGCTAGTAGACTATATCTCTTATAGTAATTGATGGTTGTATAATAAAGAGTGGTACTGATAGTTATCACTAGGTGGCCAGAGCGTTTTATAGTTTTCCTTTTCGAAGGTTTGTAAACGGAGAGAGTAGTCACCGCCCAGCCCTCACGTGCAAAGGGTCATCCTTTATTTATTAACTTTTGTGTTGTCAGCCGTTGGCTCCCGCGAGCGCCACCACCAATAATTATGAAGGAGTTGCGCCTTGGCTACCGTGGGGTGAAGACCTTTCACCTGACCTCTCCGATTGTTGCAGTCAGTCGTTGAATGGTGCTGGCTGTGTGAGGGAGGGCGTTGGTTGGTGTGTCGGCGACATGTCCTCTGGTTGGGGGCATTCGCTTTCGCCGGATTTGGTGGTCCCTGAGTATATGCCGTACCTGCGGTGTGGTGGGGGCTTTTCCCGTACCGAACAAGAGTATTTAATATGGGAGGCTTATAAGAGGAAGTATCCATCGAGACTGTTCCCTGAGAAATATGATATCTGATTATTTGTTGTGGTGTTGCTTGCGCCTGGCGTGGGTGTGGGGTGGTTTGTGTGTATTATGCTCTTTTTCAAATTTGTTATGTCTATGTTCTATTTACTATGTTATGTATATTGCTTTGTTGCTTTGTACTAAAACACATTACTATGTTGTCTTTACTATGTAATGTTTACTATGCTCTGTTTCCTAGTTTATATGTACTGTGTTGTATGGTGCTTGTTGTATTCCTTTGTTATATTTACTGCGTTCTACTTACTATGATGTATTTCCAGTGTTATATTTACCATGTTCAATTTCCTGTGTTTCGGTTCTGTGATCACAATTTGTTTTTCCTTGGTGCTGTCTTGGTTTGTACGCAGGGTTTCTGTGTGTCATGTGGCATGTATTTTTTCGACTGTGTGTTCTGTGTTATCGTTATGTGGTATGTCTGTTGTTGAATGGTGTGACACGTGGTCCATGTGTTTTGGTTTTGTTTTACGTTGTATATATGTATTTTTGTTTTGTTTCTACATTTGGTTCCATTGGATTTCTCTGTACATGTTTGTCGTTACAGGCACCTTTGGCACGCCCCGTCTGGGTAGTGCAGCTTTTGTTTGTTTGTTTTTTGTATGTTCTTATGTATTTTTATTGTTCTTTGTTTCACTTTTATGTTCTATTGCTCTGTGTGCCTTGTTATCTGTATTATTGTCATTGTGTGCTTTCCTGTGGGATGTTACTGTGGGATGTTACTCTGGTGTTACTGTGTATGCTCTGTGTTGTTGTTTTTGTTTTTGGTGCTTCGGCATCTTTTATGCTGTATTTACTTTGTTTTACAAGTAAAAAGAGAAAGAAAAGTAATTATGAACAGTTACAGGGACACGTTATCAACAAGCAGCCAGTAACATCACCTCATTCCTCTATTTAACACGTACTGCACAAATTGTACATTTAACCAAGTTAAGACTACTAATTATTTAACTGGTATTTGGATTATGGCTGGAAATAAACCTCTTGTGCACGTGAAGTGTGTAGGAATAATATTTTTGTTTAATTATTGTTATTTCCTGTGTGGAGAGTACGACATCTGCTCATATATGGAGACACTTCGCTTCCGAAAATATAATATAAACCAGCCAGGGAGCCTTATTAGGCTCCCATGATTGCAATTAATTATTATTTGTAATTTTTAATCATAATTACACAATATACATTGCACAGTATGCAAGAAGCTGTCACAATATAGAGCTGCTCAAGCTCTGTGGATGACGGGCATAACCAATGTTTTGTGCTGGAAAAAATAATTTGACCTCGATGAGCCGAGAACCCCGATCCTTTAGAAACAAACCGAATTCTCTTAAATATTGTTATTTTGATAATTTCTTCTTGTGCATTAAGAGACATTCAGTGTAACACTTAAAATATGCATTTCATATATTCAAAGCAAAACTTGCCTTAGTGAAACTATGGGATACCACGTTCGGGTGTTTTACGCACACCAGCCTTGGACGCTTTATCGTTGTGGCCTTTTGGGCCATCAGGCTGCTGGGTGTTCTGCGCCTGCCGTTGCGCCCGTGAACCTCTTCAGTGAGGAGGATTTCCCACTGCTTCCTGTGGAGGAGGCTTCGGTGGATGTGGACGTCTCTTCGGCCGCAGCTGTGCCCCCTGTCTCGACTGTTGTCGCCTCTCCTCTGGAGGTTGTGTCGATTCCTGGTGATCGTCCTGCTCCGGCTGGTGTCCCTGTTCTTCCGACTGCCTTATGCTCGGATCCCCCATCTTCAAGTTCTTCATCTGCTGTGTCTGTCCCTGTCCCTGCACCCTCGCCATCTGTCCCAGCTGTGCTGAGTGCTGGGGTGGATACGGCGCCTCCTGTGCCTGGCCTGGTACCCCATGTGGTTGAGGATGCTGCAGTTCTGCGACGAGCATCGGTTCGCCCCGCTTGTGTTGCGCGTGTCTCTGAGTCAGCCTCCGGATCTGATGATGTGCGGCCAGAGCCTAAGCGTTCCCGGCATTCTTCTTCTGCATGGGCTGACGTTGGCGATTTCGACGAATGTGTATCTTCCGGTGATAGCGGGATAGCTCCGGTTGCGTTGCACTCTATGATGGTGGCGGAGGTACATTTGCCTGTGGATGCCGGTGCCGGTGTTTCGGCCTCCCCTTCTGGTGTGGTGTCTGCAGATCCTGATTCGGGTGCGTCGCCTGCGTCAGATGGTTTCGGTTCTTCGTGGGGGGTGGTTCCCCCTGCTGAGGTTCGTGGTGAGCGTGGTGACCTGGTGGTGGTCTTGAAAAAGGCTGCTCGCTCCGGGGGGTCCGTGCCCCCTTCCTCGTTCCCTGTTTCGTCGGCAGAGGTCTTGTCGCCTCTTCCATCTCTTCTGTAGCTCCTGCGGTACTGGTGGAGGTGTTGCCGTCACGTCAACCATCACCTTCTTCTCCTGTGCGTTCGGCAGCATGGCCGTCTCGGCGGCCTACATACGCTTCGTCGGTGTCTTCTGCTTCAAATGAGGGGGTGTTTCGTGATCCCCCTGCCTCGTTATGTGACTTGCGCCAGTGAACTTCGGAAGTGGTCGTTTCTGCCTGATTTGGTGATTCCTGAGTTTATGCTGGCCCCACTGCGGGAGGGGGATCGACTCCCTACTGACAAAGAATATTTGATTTGGGAGGCATATAAGAAAAGGTATCCTTGGGATCAGTTCCCTGAGAAGTATGAGCCTGGCTATGGGAGTTAAGTTCATGCCCCGTGATTCCTTTGTTTGGCTGTATGTTGTGGGTTGTTTTCCGTTTGTGTGCATGGTTGTGGGGTGTGGGTTGTGTGTGGGGGTGGGGCGGGTTTGTTTTCTTGGTTTCTGCGTGCTCCGGTGTTTATGTTTATGTATTGCGTATTTGTTTTCTATATTGTGATTATGCTGTTCTTTTGTTTCTATTGAGTATTTGTAATTTCCTTTAGTGTTGTATTTCTTCCTGGATGTTGAGGGCCATGAGGTCTAGTCCAACAGCGTCTTGTGGTCTGGCGAAGAGTTTGTTGGTGAGTGTGGGGACGATGTAGGAGTCTGCCGCCTGGGAGTGCGAGGTGGCCAGGCCGTGCAGCAGGTCCGAGGGACTCGTGCCGAACTCGTGGAGCACGTGCGGGCCCATGAAGCTCCCCAGAAGCGACACATTCCTCCCGGCGCCCTCCAGGATGTCGTTCACCAGAGTGTGACCAAACCTGTGGAGTAGTAGCACCAGGTGTAATTATTTGCCGCTTTATATACCTTGTGTACGGTCCAAGAGTACACCGTGCACGGTCCAGGCGTACACCGTGCACGGTCCAAGCGTACACCGTGCACGGTCCAGGCGTACACCGTGCACGGTCCAGGCGTACACCGTGCACGGTCCAAGCGTACACCGTGCACGGTCCAGGCGGACACTGTGCACGGTCCAGGCGTACATCGTGCACGGTCCAGGCGTACATCGTGCACGGTCCAAGCGTACACCGTGCACGGTCCAAGCGTACACAGTGCACGGTCCAGGCCTACGCCGTGCACGGTCCAGGCCTACACCGTGAAGGGTTGAATATACGCTACACTTCACACTTAACGTACAGTGTACGCAATGTGTGAAACGAATGTACGTTCAAGAGTATATTCTGTCATAGCCCGTTTTCTAATTGCTAAAGATTGTGTACCATTGATTAGGATGAATTAAGCTAATCCAAGTTAGACTGGATTAGATTATATAAGCTTTAATATAAATCCATTTGCAATAAAAAAGTAGAATCTTTTCTGCGTGATATTGGGTATATACATTTTAAGTAATACTATTTGTGTTTTTTCTCATTTATTTCATAATTAGGTTTCCATGTTCCACATGAAGAACTTATTTGAATTTTATGAAATACTAGCTAGTCCCACTGTTGTCTGTGGTGTCCCACTGTTGTCTGTGGTGTCCCACTGTTGTCCATGGTGTCCCGTCCCACTGTTGTCTGTGGTGTCCCATTGTTGTCTGTGGTGTCCCACTGTTGTCTGTGGTGTCCCGTCCCACTGTTGTCTGTGGTGTCCCACTGTTGTCTGTGGTGTCCCATTGTTGTCTGTGGTGTCCCACTGTTGTCCATAATGTCCCACTGTTGTCTGTGGTGTCCCATTGTTGTCTGTGGTGTCCCACTGTGGTCTGTGGTGTCCCACTGTTGTCCATGGTGTCCCACTGTTGTCTGTGGTGTCCCACTGTTGTCTGTGGTGTCCCACTGTTGTCTGTGGTGTCCCACTGTTGTCTGTGGTGTCTCACTGTTGTCTGTGGTGTCTCACTGTTGTCTGTGGTGTCCCACTGTTGTCTGTGGTGTCCCACTGTTGTCTGTGGTGTCCCACTGTTGTCTGTGGTGTCTCACTGTTGTCTGTGGTGTCATACAATTGTCTACGGTGTTCCACTGTTGTCTGTGGTGTCCCACTGTTGTCTGTGGTGTCCCACTGTTGTCTGTGGTGTCCCACTGTTGTCTGTGGTGTCCCACTGTTGTCTGTGGTGTCTCACTGTTGTCTGTGGTGTCTCACTGTTGTCTGTGGTGTCCCACTGTTGTCTGTGGTGTCCCACTGTTGTCTGTGGTGTCCCACTGTTGTCTGTGGTGTCTCACTGTTGTCTGTGGTGTCATACAATTGTCTACGGTGTTCCACTGTTGTCTGTGGTGTCCCACTGTTGTCTGTGGTGTCCCACTGTTGTCTGTGGTGTCCCACTGTTGTCTGTGGTGTCCCACTGTTGTCTGTGGTGTCCCACTGTTGTCTGTGGTGTCTCACTGTTGTCTGTGGTGTCTCACTGTTGTCTGTGGTGTCCCACTGTTGTCTGTGGTGTCCCACTGTTGTCTGTGTTGTCCCACTGTTGTCTGTGGTGTCCCACTGTTGTCTGTGGTGTCATACAATTGTCTACGGTGTTCCACTGTTGTCTATAGATCTAACCGTCTATAGGTAGAGGTAAATGACCTGCAGGTAGAGGCTACTACTAGCAGACGAGACTTGAGCAAGAACCTATAGGCAGCGGTGGCGAAGCTGTTGGCGATGGAGGAGTCGACGTTCGGGTCGTAGGTGGGGTGAAGGCCGATGGGACTCGGGTACAGGTCGAACTCTCTCATCAGGGCGTCCCCGAGGATCAGAGGCAGGAACTCTCTGTAGGTCGTCTGCTGGATCAGAGCTGCCACCACCCGGCGACTCTCCTGTCGGGGGAAACACCAGGAGATGAGACGTGTTTCAAGAAATTAATTATGAGGAGAAAACTCATTAACCACAAAAGACAAAATACGTAAAACGGCGACAATTTGTTATAAGAGATCTGACACTGTCCCACAATCGGCGCTTCTTGCATCGGTCGAGGAACATCGGTGCAGGAAGCGCCGATGTTCTCTAGGGACTATATTAAACAACTAAACATCCGCACTCCCGCAGTCTCCAGGGGGCTCACCCACCACTCACCACCTGGGACTCATCCCCGTCTTCCTAGTCATATCCTGAATCCGAGTGGAAAAGGCACACTAATAAACCAGTACAGTTGGGTTCGTTCTCGAGTTTCAATCCCTCGCGGAACAGAAATGGTTAGACTAGTAAAATCGTCAATTTTATAGAGGTGACTTGATCATTGATCACGAATTTGTAACTAAACTTAATGATCAAGTCACCTCTATAAAATTTACTATGGAGACTGAAACTGATAAATGTTTGCCATTCCTAGATGTACTTATTCATAGGGAAGATTTTTCACTAAAGTTTAAGTCTACAGAAAACCTACGAATAATTTATCTTATGTTCATTATTTCTCAGGGCATAGATACAATATGAAAAAAAATCAATTTTTTCTTCAATGTATCTAAGAGCTCATTGAGTTGTGAGTCCAGAATTCCTAGATGAAGAGTTTAAGAATATTGATTCTATTGGTCTCAGGCTTTGTTACCCATTGAGTTTTTTGGAAGTTTGCCGTAGCAAAGCACGTCGTACATATTATAATAATATATGCAGTGAAAAAATCGCCCAAAGAATGTGTTATATTTACCATATTTCTCTGGGTTTAAAAATATGGTCCAAGGCCTTGAAACTTTTTGATATATATATATATATATATATATATATATATATATATATATATATATATATATATATATATATATATATATATATATATATATATATATATATATATATATATGTGTGTGTGTGTGTGTATATCACGAACATAAACACGTGATTAAGAATGTGACAATGTCAGACCACGGAGGAAAAATGAAACAGGAAATTTCCTTAAGTACTTTCGTATATTAAATACATCTTCAGAAGAAGACCTTCTGAAGATGTTAATATACGAAAGTACTTAAGGAAATTCCTGTTTCATTTTTCCTTCGTGGTCTGACATTGTCACATTCTTAATCACGTGTTTATTTTCGTGATATACACATATATATATATATATATATATATATATATATATATATATATATATATATATATATATATATATATATATATATATATATATATATATATAATGTGTGAATTATTGAAATAAATTTTCACTAATAAATTTATTCGTGATAAATTAATGAAAATAATAGCCTGGATGTAGTGCCTTGCTATATTATCCCTATATACAGTATCCAACACATACAATAGTGTATGTGAGCATCATGAACCCGTGTGACCTCTGTCTTGCCCCTCCCTCCACGGTTGTCTAAGATGCTGACCTCATTTCCGGTGTCATGCTCAATGAGATCTAATATTAATCAAATCAAATCAAATCAAAGGTTTATTCAGGTAAAGTACATACATACAAGGTAAGATACAAACATTGATGGATTTATAGATAGAGATAGTACATACAATGCCTAAAGCCACTATTACGCAAAGCGTTTCGGGCAGTGTGAAACTGATAATAATCATGTGAATAATGTGAAATTATAATTTGAATCTAAAATAATGTTTACCACAAACGTAACGATTAAATGTATGTAAACTAGATCATACGCTCATGGTAGATCTTTCCGTCGTCCTCACTCGACCATGTTTACCCCGGGTCCTAGCCTCACCTACCTGGTAGATCCTCTCGTCGTCCTCACTCGACCATATCTACCCCGGGTCCTAGCCTAACCTACCTGGTAGATCCTCTCGTCGTCCTCACTCGACCATATCTACCCCGGGTCCTAGCCTCACCTACCTGGTAGATCCTCTCGTCGTCCTCACTCGACCATATCTACCCCGGGTCCTAGCCTCACCTACCTGGTAGATCCTGTCGTCGTCCTCACTCGACCATATCTACCCCGGGTCCTAGCCTCACCTACCTGGTAGATCCTCTCGTCGTCCCAGTGGGGGTTGATGGCGGCGAGCTGGGCGGCGAGGCCCTCGTGGACCCGCAGCCACAGTGTGTGCATGGAGGTCAGGGCGGGCTGTTCGTTCACTCTCTCGTCCCCTGCGAAAACAATACAATTTGTTACATGTATATTCTGTTTTAATTATTAAAATGTTCTCGGTATATACGAATGTCGCGTCTAAAATCTAGACGGGTGTTCCGGACGAGCGTGTTTGGTCATATTCCCCGGTGCTGTCAACCGGTCCTTTCAACTAATAAGTTATGGTGACCAACGTGCTATGAAACGTTGCGGCTCTCAACAGCACGTTTTCAATGCATTGGCTTGAAAGGTTAGGTTAGGTTAGGTGGGTTGCTTTGGTTCGTGCATTTCTGGTTAAGTTAGGACGGCGGATTTCGTCCGTTGGGACAAATATAGAGAGAAGTGGTTACTTGTACTAACATCTCGGCCACGCCCCCAGAGTTTAGATGACTGTGTTTCCTAGTATTATTTATTAACCCCTTATTGACAATTTTAATAATGTTATAAATCATTTTTGTTTACTTTTGTCTAATATTTTAGCTTTATTTTATTGCAGTTAGCTTTATTCAATAGACTCAAGATTTAATGTCTATCAACCTCCGGACGGCTATTAAATCCACCATATAGGTTATTGACCGACCAGCAAGTGGACTTCGGACCCCTGAACATAGTCCAGGACTAAAAGGAACTGTATGCACACACACCAAGAAGCAGGTGCACCTCTGCGTGTGCGTCTCTCTTCCTGAAATTGTCAAAGATGCCTAATTTTGCAATGATATAAAGACCGATTCTTGCTAAATCGTAAAAAGACATGTTATAATATTTAATCTCATTATGCCATGCGTTTGGGAAAGTTTTCCTTTCACCTGATACCACTGTTCATCTATGTGTTAATAGGTACCAGGGAGTTAGGCAGCTGTTGTTGGTAGCATTCTGGGAATGGTTAAGTGTTGGCCTACGGGGAATCTCGATTAGTCTGCACAGGCTTCCTCTTCCTAACAACGGGAACCAAACCTACTCAATATTCCAATTACCTAGCGAGCAAAATATGCTCGAATAACGCTTAATCAACATCTACAACGTTGATTCATTGTTACATCAAATCATTAACGTAAATTGCTCAGATTTGCTCACTGGGAAACTCTCCAGCCAAGTTCAAGTTAAAAACGTATTCTCATACTTTCTGAAAGAGTCACCACAGAAAACGTATGAGGGGGAAACCACTCTATAAGGTAGAGATAGTCCAGTTATACAACAATACTTCAGAGGCCTTGATATACCATCTAGCTTCCGCTACTTACGCTATAAGTAAATAAAATAAGTTTGTAATATGCAGTTGTTAAATGAAAGTATTCTAGAGGGGACAGATTGTTACTGCCTTAACAGAGCACTTTCTATGGAGACAGCCACTACTTTACATTAGTGTTCTCACTAGAGTGACTTGGCAACATCCCAACACCCAAATGGATGTTTGAGAAGAGAATGAACTTAGAAATATCTCCATTACATGTGCAATAATCAGGAAGAGCACTGACAAATTAAAGGAATCTGAAACCCAAGGAGTAAATGACCTTAAATTCAAACCCACAAAAATCCTGAGTAACGAACCTGTTCACATTTATGGACGCGCGGAAACTACACATACAAAGGACATCCAGTAGGTGAAGTGTACTTGGACCTCTCTGAAACAATTGATGAAGTCCCTGTGGTGTAGTGGTAAGACACTCGCCTGGCGTTTCGTGAGCTCTTTGGCATGGGTTCGTATCCTGGCCGGGGAGGATTTACTGGGCGCCAATCTTTAACTGTAGCCTCTGTTCACCCAACAGTAAAATGGGTACTTGGTTGTTAAACGATTTGGCAGAGTCGTATTCCAGGGCATATGGGATTATAAGGACCTGCCCGACACTCTACGCGTGCTGGCGGCTGTACAAGACTGTAAACAACTCTTGTATAAAAAATACCACACGAAAGACTGCCACAAAACTACAAGCACATAGAATAAACAGTGATATACTAGAGTGGATAAAACCATGACTGAAACAAAAGAGCAAATGGTCGTCCTGAATGGAAGGGAATCTGATAGTGAAAAATGATGAATGGATTTCCTCAAGGTTTCATATTGAGGTAAATGTCCTTCATACATCAAGGCTATAGGTGGAAAAAATCATAAACCCAATCATCGAATTTGCAGATGACCCAACGATCTATGGAAAAGTAGGAAGCGAAAACAATTTTAAAGCTTTGCAAAGCGCTCTTCATAATTACTAATGATTAGAAGAATGTCAAATGTTATCCAGTGTTTTAAAATACAAAGACCCTTGCATGTAGGGCATAACAATACCCATCATAACTAACATACGAACAGCACTATCATGCAGCAGATTAATGAAGAAAAGGGCCCAGGAGCTATGGTCCACAGGAGCTATAGATCAAAGTTGCTCAGCAAGTAGAAGCTGCGATAAAAAAAAAACTAGGAATAATCAAACGGACTTGTGTTGTCAAGGAAACGGAAATAATTATTAGGCTTTACAAACGCTGGTGCGCCTCCGAGTTCAAATCTCTGCGCAGATATCTGGCAAGGTATTAATACTTCAACTTTCCTGTGCAAAGTTGAGAAGTAAATGAAGGTAACAGAGATGGCTATAGACACACTTTGGTTACATGCGCAAAATATCCATCTCTTTTTTTTTTAGACTATTCTCATTTATATTTCAAATTCTATCTGCATGCCGTCCTCGGCATGCAATAAGTACTGTTGTTTGAAGGAGTAAAACAACTGACCTGCCCTGAAGCAGACTCCACTATGACCACATGTGACTTGGGGCAGGAAGTGGCCCTGTCCGGCGCCCGGACCTCTGGACCTGCGGAGTCTCCCTCCCTGGTGCGTCCGGAGGTTGGCAGCGACCTCTGGAGTGGACCCGTACACCGTAGACCCGTCCACGTACGCTGTCACCTGGTTCAGCTGTTCTCGAGGACCTGACGAAGAAGACGAGACTAAGTGCTTACTTGTTGAATAAAAGGTTAAGGATACTGAATAGCTGGATGAAAATGATGTGAATAGACTATTTCAGTTGGCCTCTAAAAGAATCAAAGTGCTCAGGGGATTGGCACTCAATGTCGGAAAATCCGACACCATTTAATAATAATCATACAGATAATAGCTGTATTACCAACAAGTTACCCATAGAAAACGTAACTTGTAGTGGAATTACCATCTAAAGAAAACGGGATATCATCACCACATACCATTATAATTCACCAGCTATTCTGCTGGGAATTATTCTTAAATACATTAGTCTTTGGACTTTACCATCATAAAAACATCTTATATAAATTAACTTAATTATCAATATTAAAGTAGAGTAAATGTGACCCTTCTATCACGTTCTGAAATCTGGACAATGTAAGCCAGGCGTCAGAGAGGAGGAAGGAGGGAGCCATTGTTGTGTCACCTCCGAGACGTGTGGAGCAAATTTAGCTCCTATCATATCTGGACAATGTCGGCCAGTAACGTCAATAGTATGGAGTGAAACAGCCATTGTGTTTATATTGAGACCAGAGGCTCACACGGGAGCAAATTCGGCTCCTGTTAATTTTACTTGGACGTAGTGTTATGGAAACCAAAGGTACCATCTCCAACACGATGTCTACAATTCAAGTTAAGTGTCTATCCGAAACCCGTTTATCATTCATTTATGGCCATTAATGTCAGGATATAGGGTGACCCGGTTAGATCGCGAAATCGCCTCAAACTAAAGGTAATTAAGCCAGGTCTTCATGTTCCATGTACTGTTTTCTCTGATATACTTGTCATATATAGGTATCTGGCTTCACAGCTAGCGCACTTTTGACAGGTCAAGACGAGGATGCAAGATTTGTGCACCAGTTACTGGGTGATATGGAAGCTACCTCAAAGAGGATAATTTGGTGTCTACACCCTAGTTATACCTGGTGGACTAACCTGCTGTACTATAAGATAAGGAACCTCTTTAATGTATGTAGTTATTTCTGTAGTTTGATTGGCTGCATATATATATTAATTTAATAACCCCCCCCCCTAATGTGTAGAGGATCGATTTGTGAGATTATGAGATTATTGCAGAAATACAGTCCACTTATCATTATACAAATTGCTATCGAAGTATATAAATTAACGTAAATATAAATTCATATAAATTAAATAAATATAAATCTCACAGGTCGGTTCCCACATTATTTGGTCCTTCGAACCGGATTATTTGGACCTTCGGAACCGGAATATTCGGTCCTATGAACCCACATTTGGTCATCTTAGTACCGGATGAACCAGTTAACCAGTGGATTCATTAAATAAACTAGTGCAGTGTTATTTAAACAAAGCCAGCAGTCAAGACGGCAGCGTAGCCTCGAGGGAGCTCAGGAGCCTCCCTCAGCCCAGTTCAGCTTCGTCAGCGGTTTCATGCACACCCACAGATATTTGGTGGCGTGTTATTTCGTGAAATGACAGCGCTAATATAGAATCCAGCCAAATTAGTGACTGTGTCTTCGCGAGATTGTTCACGGATTTCGTGGTGTTACATTTCGCGAGAGATTATCTACGAATTTTGTGGACTTTATTTCGCGAGGTCACTAATAATATTTAATACTTCTAGATAATATTAGAAGTTTCATAGAGGCTAATTAAGAGGCTATTATCAATAATTGTGTATATTATTTCTCCAAATAGAGAATTATTTAATATATACTGCACTAGTGTTCACAGTATAATATTTACTAATTGCCAACCCACAACAGGGTAGGATATTACCATTGACTAGTTGAACTATTATCGTTCATCCTAGTCCCATTATTACCATAGTCAGTTGTACTATATTGAACAACCTAACACCATTAATGAATGGTCCAGACCCTATTTTGGGTGTAATTTTTATCAACTCGAGTTGAGTTGTATATATAATAATTTACTTATGATCATTACACCTTTGAGTGATTAATTAGTGTCTCTACCATCCTAGGGTGATATAGAAGAGCTAACCTAAAGGTACTTCCATGACACTGGTTTATCACTCAAATCATTAGTGTGTATGATTGTATATATATAATGTGTATTAATTTTAAGTGCTAACCTCTAGTAGAGGTAGGATTATTGCCTAGTGAGTTCAGAATTGACCCTAGGCTACCATCAGTGTTTGTTCAGTATTATGAGCAGCCCAAGTACAAGTCCCACAAGGCTTCACCAACTAGCCAGTATGGATAATGCAGGGAGAATGAAAAGAACCCTTGCAGGTCTTAAAGGCCACTTAACAAGACAGATCAAGAAATGTGAAGATTTGTCACAACAATCTCAAGTTGATTATGCTGACCTGGAAAGCTATTATCAAGCAGCTGCAGGTAAATTTGAGCAAATCAAATGCCAAATGGCTGTCCTTGTGGGGACGGACTATTGCCATCGATTCATTGGTAGCCCTACTAAATATCAGGGTATAACCATGTTAAACTCTGCAGGAGGTAAATTACTCTCAGGCCCAGTATCAAGCCTGAGGAGACCTATGCCTGCAGATAAACAATACCAGTAGAAATCTAAATTTGTCAGCTGATTATATTTCTCCAGTAGCATTATACTAAGGAGATTACAGCTGACTATACCAACAGAGGTTGATGTTAGTATCATCATTTGAAGCTGAAGATGAGTTCATGAGGCCTCAGTGGCAAATCAGTGAACAGTAGCTTAAGCAGCTACAAGTCACTGCGACCAATGTCACTGAACCCACTGCAGTCTCAGAACCATACTTTACTTTAATGATGAGCTATTCAATCTTCTGAATCAATTAACTAAATTAAACCCCAATAAATCTGATGACTGATTTGATACATTTATTATTTAATCAAGATGTATTCCATGGGCCTCAGTGTTTATATATCAGTGACCAGTTACCTGAAGAAACTTCAAGTTATATCTGATGTCACTGATCTCACTGCAGTCCCTGAATCATACTTGACTGTAGTACTTGATCACATTCAGTCTTCTGGGTTAAATAATATGTAATAAGGCTTGAATATTAGCCTTTCAAGAGTTGACAGGGAAATGAAATCGCATTAGACTTCTAACCCCTGCAACTCTAGTACGGGACATCCGTCCTGTACGAACAGACGCACAAATGTGTGATTACTAACTACTAACATCAAATTAATCTAATAATCCGAAGGAGGAGTATCGGTGTTCGTCTGTTCTAAATAGGACTTCGACCCGTGAGCAGCCCCCTGGGGAATTATGTCGGAAAATCCGACACCATTTAATAATAATCATACAGATAATAGCTGTATTACCAACAAGTTACCCATAGAAAACGTAACTTGTAGTGGAATTACCATCTAAAGAAAACGGGATATCATCACCACATACCATTATAATTCACCAGCTATTCTGCTGGGAATTATTCTTAAATACATTAGTCTTTGGACTTTACCATCATAAAAACATCTTATATAAATTAACTTAATTATCAATATTAAAGTAGAGTAAATGTGACCCTTCTATCACGTTCTGAAATCTGGACAATGTAAGCCAGGCGTCAGAGAGGAGGAAGGAGGGAGCCATTGTTGTGTCACCTCCGAGACGTGTGGAGCAAATTTAGCTCCTATCATATCTGGACAATGTCGGCCAGTAACGTCAATAGTATGGAGTGAAACAGCCATTGTGTTTATATTGAGACCAGAGGCTCACACGGGAGCAAATTCGGCTCCTGTTAATTTTACTTGGACGTAGTGTTATGGAAACCAAAGGTACCATCTCCAACACGATGTCTACAATTCAAGTTAAGTGTCTATCCGAAACCCGTTTATCATTCATTTATGGCCATTAATGTCAGGATATAGGGTGACCCGGTTAGATCGCGAAATCGCCTCAAACTAAAGGTAATTAAGCCAGGTCTTCATGTTCCATGTACTGTTTTCTCTGATATACTTGTCATATATAGGTATCTGGCTTCACAGCTAGCGCACTTTTGACAGGTCAAGACGAGGATGCAAGATTTGTGCACCAGTTACTGGGTGATATGGAAGCTACCTCAAAGAGGATAATTTGGTGTCTACACCCTAGTTATACCTGGTGGACTAACCTGCTGTACTATAAGATAAGGAACCTCTTTAATGTATGTAGTTATTTCTGTAGTTTGATTGGCTGCATATATATATTAATTTAATAACCCCCCCCTAATGTGTAGAGGATCGATTTGTGAGATTATGAGATTATTGCAGAAATACAGTCCACTTATCATTATACAAATTGCTATCGAAGTATATAAATTAACGTAAATATAAATTCATATAAATTAAATAAATATAAATCTCACAGGTCGGTTCCCACACTCAAAAACTGGATTCATTTTCGCACTTCGTGTCTACCACTCCTATATGGAAACTAGATATAGATTTTGCATAAAAGTGTTTGAATGAAGCAAGTTGACTTGTCTGGGCTGACACACTGTTGTATGTGATGGGTGGGAGAGAGGCTTTAATGCACGGGGTGTGAAAGGGTGTGAAAAAGTGTGTACGCCAGGCGTGACCTCACCCAGCTTGCAGCTCCTGCTGGCGATGAGAGACCTCACGAATCTCATGCATATCCTGCCATTGGAGGCGAAGAGCGGATCGGCCGAGACGTCGATGGGCCGGCAAGCCTCGGCCAAGTCGACGGGGTCGTTGAAGAGACCCCCGTCCCTGCAGCAGGTCACCGGCATCGTCTGTCCGTTGTGACCAACCACTGCAGGAGCAACAGCACCACGTCAGTCATTGTGCAAGATCAACACACACATTATACATCCATACACGCCTTGTTCCAGCCTGGATACATACACCACCTTATGACAAACCCTATTGCATTATCAACATTTTTTCTTAAAGTAATTAAATTTGGTTATGAATTTAACATGCATTGCTTCCCTCTAAAGGTATCTGCTGTTGTATTCTTTAGAAACAAAAATATTTTGCTTAAAGTAAATAATGTTATAGATGCTTTATAAGGTGGTAACCCACACAGAGGTACGCCAGCAGTATTAATGGTCTGGGAATAGTGACGTCCAGGTGCTCCTGCTGCTGCTGGAGGAGTCAGGAGACAGGAAGAGATTGTTGAGGGGAGAGTCATTATGAAAAGGCGGCTGCCTACATCAAGGGACAAGTGAAGTAAATGAGAGAGAGGGGGAGAGAGAGAGAGAGAGAGAGAGAGAGAGAGAGAGAGAGAGAGAGAGAGAGAGAGAGGAGAGAGAGATGGGTGTTAAAGCCAGAAGTGTTAGAGAGATAAGTTGACAAAGGAGGTTGTATGTGTGGTGGTAGAGGCAGGAGGGAGAGTATAGAAGCTTGGCCTCACCTGCCGCCTCCGGGGTGTGGACAATGTCGTGGTCAATGAACTGCCCCCACTGCATCACCATCAGGGTCATGTGAGGGAGTGGGGGGCGCCGCTCCCCTTCGTGCAGCACTCGACTCACCGTGCGAGGTGAAGGCAGCGCCCACTCACCCGTCCGGCCCTCACCCCGCATGGCATCCACACCTGGGGAAGAAATCACTGCTGTCAGAACCTCTCCTCTCACTGTTAATGTACACACACGGTGAAAATATAGTGTGGACGCTCTAGCTGCAACCTTACACACCTGTCTCCGTCACCCGTGTGCTCTGTACTGCCTCCACACCTGTGAGAGCCACACCCGTGGGCTCTGTACTGCCTCCACACCTGTCTCCGTCACCCGTGGGCTCTGTACTGCCTTCAGTATAAGGGGAGAAGCCACGTCGATTCTCAACTTTAAGAACACTTATGCCGGAACACAAGAGCGTCGGGCACCGGGGCTAAGGAGCTAGAGCTCGCTCTCAGTACTCACTTGACCTCCACAACACGTCTCAAGCTGAATTTGATACCAATCTAATTCAAGTAAGGTCTCTCAGCTCCTAATAAAGCACCCAGTTTGTCCGTCCTTCCCTCGCTCCCTATCCTGTCCTCTCCTCCCTCTCTCTCTCTCCCTCCCTCTCCTCTCTCCCTCCCTCCCTCCATCCATCCCTATCATCCCTCACTTCCTCAAGAACGTCCAGCAAGGAGTTGGCTTCATAAGGGAAGTAATGGTCCACCTTGCTGAAGATTGGCTTCACTGCCCCCACCAGCCAGGTGTGGGCAAGCCCGCCCACCAGCCAGGTGTGGGCAAGCCCGCCCACCAGCCAGGTGTGGGGCAAGCCCGCCCACCAACCAGGTGTGGAGAAGCCCGCCCACCAGCCAGGTGTGGGCAAGACCGCCACCCCCACTGTGGTGGGTGTTGAAGCTCCAGTGCACACGTGGGAGCGTAGTCACCAATGCGGACTCGCGCGTGCATTGGTGGTGTGAGGAGGATTCTGGAGTGTGTGTTGTAATTAGGCTGTGAGTGTGTGTACCGGGTCGACTGACGCTGTAACTGTCAGTGTACCGGGTCGACTGACGCTGTAACTGTCAGTGTACCGGGTCGACTGACGCTGTAACTGTCAGTGTACGGGGTCGACTGACGCTGTAACTGTCAGTGTACCGGGTCGACTGACGCAGTAACTGTCAGTGTACGGGGTCGACTGACGCTGTAACTGTCAGTGTACCGGGTCGACTGACGCTGTAACTGTCAGTGTACCGGGTCGACTGACGCAGTAACTGTCAGTGTACGGGGTCGACTGACGCTGTAACTGTCAGTGTACCGAGTCGACTGACGCAGTAACTGTCAGTGTACCGGGTCGACTGACGCAGTAACTGTCAGTGTACCGGGTCGACTGACGCAGTAACTGTCAGTGTACCGGGTCGACTGACGCAGTAACTGTCAGTGTACCGGGTCGACTGACGCAGTAACTGTCAGTGTACCGGGTCGACTGACGCAGTAACTGTCAGTGTACCGGGTCGACTGACGCAGTAACTGTCAGTGTACCGGGTCGACTGACGCAGTAACTGTCAGTGTACGGGGTCGACTGACGCAGTAACTGTCAGTGTACCGGGTCGACTGACGCAGTAACTGTCAGTGTACGGGGTCGACTGACGCTGTAACTGTCAGTGTACCGGGTCGACTGACGCTGTAACTGTCAGTGTACCGGGTCGACTGACGCTGTAACTGTCAGTGTACGGGGTCGACTGACGCAGTAACTGTCAGTGTACGGGGTCGACTGACGCAGTAACTGTCAGTGTACCGGGTCGACTGACGCAGTAACTGTCAGTGTACGGGGTCGACTGACGCTGTAACTGTCAGTGTACCGGGTCGACTGACGCTGTAACTGTCAGTGTACCGGGTCGACTGACGCTGTAACTGTCAGTGTACGGGGTCGACTGACGCAGTAACTGTCAGTGTACGGGGTCGACTGACGCAGTAACTGTCAGTGTACGGGGTCGACTGACGCAGTAACTGTCAGTGTACGGGGTCGACTGACGCAGTAACTGTCAGTGTACGGGGTCGACTGACGCAGTAACTGTCAGTGTACCGGGTCGACTGACGCAGTAACTGTCAGTGTACCGGGTCGACTGACGTAGTAACTGTCAGCCTCCATCCTTGTTCCCCCCCCCCTCTCCCTCACCTACCAGGCCCTCCACCCAGAAAGAGTTTAAGACTAAACTCTCCGTAACAAGTGACACACTTCTAGCGTGTCGACTTACTCTTCAGCATGATCAATGATTTCGTGATTTCAGCATGACCCAGCACGTAGAGATGGCTTGGAGTAGTGACACACACAAGTGTAAACACTTGTCTGTGACACTCTTATACACAGTGTAAACACTTTGTTTGGTGGTGGTGAAGAACACATTGTTTCACTGTGCAGCGAGTGCGCGCACGCGTGTGCTTACACAAACGCGGTTGTCTACGCAAACAGTCGAAACACTAATATTGAGGCGAGAGAGAGTTAGTTTAGTTTATTATGCACCGCATACCCATGGTGAGGGCCGTAGTGGGAAGGGCTACAGAGGCACAGGCCGGGCTCAGGGACAGAGCCAAGCAAGGTACAGTCTCGAGCGAGGAAACCGCATTTTGACCCTCGCATCAACTAACATGTAATTGACGGCCATCGTCACGCCTGTGCGGCAGGTGGCGGCGTCCCTCAGGGCCTGAAGCTGTGGTTATTGTCGGGGAAACCTGGTCCTGGGGAGAAACCCTGCAGCAATCACCCACCACCTGGTCCCCTGCAACAGTCACCCACCACCTATCTTGAGATGATTTCGGGGCTTTAGTGTCCCCGCGGCCCGGTCCTCGACCAGGCCTCCACCCCCAGGAAGCAGCCCGTGACAGCTGACTAACACCCAGGTACCTATTTACTGCTAGGTAACAGGGGCATTCAGGGTGAAAGAAACTTTGCCCATTTGTTTCTGCCTCGTGCGGGAATCGAACCCGCGCCACAGAATTACGAGTCCTGCGCGCTATCCACCAGGCTACGAGGCCCCTAGCTCCTGTCACCTGGTCCAAGTGACAGGATGGTCGGGGCGTGACACTGTGTGGACAGTCACTGACCAAGTGACAGGATGGTCGGGGCGTGACACTGTTGTCGGAAAATCCGACACCATTTAATATCATACAGACAGATAATAAGTGCTGCTGTATTACCCACAAGTTAACCATAGAAAACGTAACTTGTAGTGGAATTACCGTCTATAGAAAACGGGATATCATCACCACATACTATTATAATTTACCACCTATTATGGTGGGAATTATTCTTAAATACATTAGTCTTTGGACTTTACCATCATAAAAACATCTTATATAAATTAACTTAATTATCAATATTAAAGTAGAGTAAATGTGACCCTTCTATCACTTTCTGAAATCTGGACAAAGTAGGCCAGGCGTCAGAAGGAGGAAGGGGCAGCCATTGTTGTTATATGAGACCAGAGGCTCACACGGGAGCAAATTCGGCTCCTGTTAAATTTACTTGGACGTAGTGTTATGGAACCCAAAGGTGTAACATTGTCAACACGCTGTCTACAAATACAAGTTAAGTGTCTATCCGAAACCCGTTTATCATTCATTTATGGCCATTAATGTCAGGATATAGGGTTAGCCGGTTAGAACGCGAAATCGCCTCAAACTAAAGGTAATTAAGCCAGGTCTTTCATGTTCCATGTACTGTATACAGTTTTCTCTGAAATACTTGTCATATATAGGTTTCTGGCTTCACAGCTAGCGCACTTTTGACAGGTCAAGACGAGGATGCAAGATTTGTGCACCAGTTACTGGGTGATATGGAAGCTACCTCAAAGAGGATAATTTGGTGTCTACACCCTAGTTATACCTGGTGGACTAACCTGCTGTACTATAAGATAAGGAACCTCTTCAATGTATGTAGTTACTGTAGTTTGATTGGCTGCATACATATAAATATAAACCCCCCTAATGTGTAGAGGATCGATTTGTGAGATTATGAGATTATTGCAGAAATACAGTCCACTTATCATTATACAAATTGCTATCGAAGTATATAAATTAACGTAAATATAAATTCATATAAGTTAAATAAATATAAATCTCACAGGTCGGTTCCCACATTATTTGGTCATCTTCGAACCGGATGACGGATTATTTGATCCTTTGAACCCACATTTGGTCATCTTAGTACCGGATGAACCAGTTAACCAGTGGATTCATTAAATACTAGTGCAGTGTTATTTAAACAAAGCCAGCCAGTCATAGACAGCGGCGTTGCCTCGTGGGAGCTCAGGAGTCTCCCTCAGCCCAGTTCAGCTTCGTCAGCGGTTTCATGCACACCCACAGATATTTGGTGGCGTGTTATTTCGTGAAATGACAGCGCTAATATAGAAGCCAGCCAATTAGTGACTGTCGCAAGATTGTTCACGGATTTCGTGGTGTTACATTTCGCGAGAGATTATCTACGAATTTTGTGGACTTTATTTCGCGAGGTCACTAATAATATTTAATACTTCTAGATAATATTAGAAGTTTCATAGAGGCTAATTAAGAGGCTATTATCAATAATTGTGTATATTATTTCTCCAAAATAGAGAATTATTTAATATATATTGCACTAGTGATCATAGTATAATATTTACTAATTGCCAACCCACAACAGGGTAGGATATGACTAGTTGAACTATTATTGTTCATCCTAGTCCCATTATTACAATAGTCAGTTGTACTATATTGAACAACCTAACACCATTAATGAATGGTCCAGACCCTATTTTGGGTGTAATTTTTATCAACTCGAGTTGAGTTGTATATATAATAAATTACTTATGATCATTACACCTTTGAGTGATTAATTAGTGTCTCTTCCATCCTAGGGTGATATAGAAGAGCTAACCTAAAGGTACTTCCAGTGACACTGGTTTATCACTCAAATCATTAGTGTGTATGATTGTATATATATATAATGTGTATTAATTTTAAGTTCTAACCTCTAGTAGAGGTAGGATTATTGCCTAGTGAGTTCAGAATTTACCCTAGGCTACCATTAGAGCTTGTTCAGTATTATGAGCAGCCCAAGTACAAGCCCCACAAGGCTTCACCAACGAGCCAGTATGGATAATGCAGGGAGAATGAAAAGAACCCT